CATAGACTGACATACCGTCACCGCTCAGAATCGTTTTTCTTATACAATGATATTATATCATTGAATTCAAATTTAATACCATCCATTATACAGTGACCCACTTGTAACCTACTGTACAGCAGAGCGACACCCACTTGCCAACCTTTTTTTCTATGAATATCAATACAATTTTATTTGTTGGGTAAAAAAGCGTAAAAACGTAATGCAAAGCTCCTGATATATTGTTACAATAGCAATTGAAAAATATTTAAAATACATAGGCAAATTTTTTTTTTATAAGCATTTAATATTCGAATTTTGACAAAATGTATCATATTTTAAATTTAATAATTATTTTGTAGGTAAAAATGTATAAAATGTTCAACTTTTTTAGCTAAGGATTGAACATTTAAAACAAGATTCTACGTAAATATGTTATATAAAAAGTAATTTTACTTAATTCACATTAATATTATCATCAAATATACTTACCGTTTTCGCTTAGAATCGTTTTTCTTAAACAATGATATTTTATCATTGAATTCAAATTTAACACAATCCATTACAGTGACCCACTTTTTTATTTTCAATGTTGAAAAATAAAAATAATTTTTTATATAATATATATGTATAGCTCAAGACTATAAATTGTAGGTATATAAAAAAACATTATAAATATTGATTAGAACAAAAGTTATTCCAAAAGTCAGTTGTATCTGTTACACGCCCTATACAGGATATTATACTATATAATACCATACACGGTATACACGATCACACAGACTGTTGGAAACTAGGAACTCATAAGTGAACACCAACAACTGACAAGTGATTCGTATATCGTAATTAGGGTTTTGTCCGAATTAGATGTGGGCACGGGAATGTTTATATTATAGTTAATACTCGCGAGTCGCGATACTATAATATTGTCATTGCGCTGAGTCGCTGCTGAACGTGATAACTGATAATAATTATAATAATATATTACCTATATAACCGACCACAACAACCGGGTTTAGTAGAAACATTGGGAAAAAATGATTAATGTTCTAAATAGATTTGAATTCGATAAAATGACAATTTTCTAGTTCATTTTTTTCATTCAATATACTCTGATACCCTAATGTCTGATGATAACCGTTTTTTGGTTTTACTTTGTTGTTTTAAGGAGAAGTTTTGATACGGAAAAACACAACAATTATTAGAGGGTGATAATTTAAAAATTGGGAAAGCTAAAGCCCCTATTTGCGCCTATGGTATATCTATCCGTTTATAAATAAATAAATAAATATTTATATACCAATATCATATAATATAATATAATATGCAGTGTTGGGTAGTAACGTAACGCAAATTACAAATTACTTTTTCAGTAACGCAACAGTAATTTCATTAGATTTTACTTAAAGTAACGCAATTGTAACAAAATTGCTTTTAAAAAGTAATTTCTATGAAGTAAAGCACTAACGCGTTATTTTCCACGTTAATAAAATAATAGTTTTGAATGTATTACAGGTATAGGATATCCCAGAAAAATTTTAAATCAATTATATTTATTTTTGATTACTATAATAATTATAGGTAATAATATCACTAAACATTTAAGGAATAAATAAATGTTATTGCTTTATTAGCAGAAAAAAAAGAGTTCGGTTTAAAAATAAAATTTAATAAAAATTAATTATTATTTATGACTTATAGTATTTGTATTTGAAGGTAATAATTATATAATACATTTCTAAACATATACTACCTACCTAATCCATATAATATAATATAACTTTAATGTGTTAAGCATTTGTATCAAATTCTGAGTATTTTTATTTGAAATAAACTGATACATTATATATTTGAACCAATTTATTTTTTCATTCTTTAATTCCTTAATCCCAGTCTCCAGGTGTAGAGAGTTAACATATTTTAATTTATTTATTATTAATAATAATAATTAATATTTTAAAAAGTTAATTTGGTCAAGATAATAATTTATAATTGATAATAGTCAAAATAATATTCAGCCTTTACCAAACTGTATACTTAAAAGTACAAAACAGAAATTAGACCTAGTGAATTAATGTGTTATGAATACAAATGTATACGGTATACACAACAAAACTAACTGTTTAAGGAACAATTATATTGGTAGAAAATAACCAAGCTCATAATGTACCTACAACAGAAAATTTTGTTGTCATTACAATACTCAGTCAACAATAATTTAAACGTAACTCCTACAAAACATTTGGCCGTCACGAGAGCAACCAAAAAACATGGTTGCGGCCTGCGGGAGTCATATTCTGACTACAATTACCAAATATTTTTTTCCGTGTGGCTATATAGCCATACAGGTGAGATGATTGTAAATTCGTACATAATACTAAAATAGGTCTATGATTTAAAAATATACATAATAATTGAGTCATATGAATTGAATATGGTTAAAAAAAATGATAAGAAAAGTAATGTTATTTGTAACGCACTGCTTTATTATTGAAAAAGTAATGTAACGTGATAAAAATAATTTTAGGTAACGCAAATGTTATTTAAATAAAAATAGTTGAAGTAACGAGTAACGTAATTGCATTACTTTTTAAAAGTAATAAATTTACCCAACACTGATAATATGTACCTATTTATCTATACCTATTATAATAATTTAATAATAATTATCATTCCAAGTTTACATATTTTTGTTATTATTAATTATTATTTTTGATAGCTGTATCCAATAGTACTGTTAGGTATAGCTTTGGGGATTTTTTTTAGGGATTTCTTAACCAAGGCTTTTTATTCCGGGGATTTTTTTTCCTAGACTCGATAACATAGAGAAGTGACTATAAGTGAGTATAGGTACCTATACGCCCAAAAAACTAGAGAAGTGAGTAGGTATATGTCAAAAAACTAGAGTCTTCTCTAGTGAGTAGTGACTATACCTATTATAGGCAAAGCTGGGCACTAACTAGTTACTTTTAATTCATATTAACTTTGTAACTTAACAAGTTGAATTTAATGTGTAAAATAGTTTAATCTTACTCGTTTGAAAATAAAAACTAACTAGTTATTATTAATTATTATTACTATTTTTTTCATTCCAAAATGAATATTTTAATTTCAATTAATATTTTAAGTTGTCCTACTGTTTTAAATATTTTATTTTGTTCCAACCTTTACGTTATAATAACTGATAAGTGATATACTAATTAATTTCAAATTAATTGAAATTATTACTTACCTAATTAGAATATTTTGATCAAATTACTAGGTGTTTAATTCGATTTTTAGTTTTAATCAATAATTTAAGTTAGATAACTTATTATTTACATTCAAACAAAAATGTTTCTATAAAAAAAACTAACTTCTAACTTCTACTCTAACTTAAGTTACAATTTTCACCAAACTAACTTCTAACTAACTAAGTTAGAAATTTGGACAGTTTCAGGAACTAACTTATATATTCTAACTTGGTTAGTTTTTTTATTAAAGTAACTTAACTTCAAGTAGGTAGTTGAAAAAAATGACTAACTTGCCCAGCTTTGATTATAGGTCACTATAATAGTGAGTATTTGCCGTCTATGATGGTCTATCTGCCAATATACTACTTAATATAATGTGATCACACCGTCAAACGGTCACGTCGATACGTATGTCAGTATGGGCCGAAAATTAGTGAGTAAGTCAGTAGCACCAGTAAAATGATACTGAAAAATACTTTGCACCAAATTTCTTGTTTTTTTAACTTAAAACATACACTGCCACTTAATAATTAGGATATAATATTGCAGTTTCCACAGTTTTCTAGCTATGAACATAAGGAATGTAAATCTGTAGTTTAAATGTGATTAACTTAAAAAATTAATTTACAATTTTTTTTTTAAATTTTGGTGCAAAGTTATATGTCTTTTGGGGGGTATTTACGGGCGGTAAAATACGATTGAGAACCGCATTTTTGGTAACACGATTGAGAACGCTCGATATTATATTTTTTTTCCAACGTTGTAAATTTATTTGATGATAATTTGAGCACGATAATTTGTTGGTATTGAATTAGCAATATATTATGTTAATTGTTATTAAAATTCTAACTGAAACTCAAGCAGAAACAATATACTTAAAATAGCTACGGTAGTTAGAGTTAAGGTACTAAGAATAATATGTCTATGCCCTATGGCAATAGCCAATAGGTTAAGTAGATTTGGGGTCTTAGATGATTTAAAAATGTTAGTAATTACTAATGATCTATCAATATAAATAATTTGTAAAAATAATTGAAATATAACGAATACTACTTACATATAATATTACATATAGTTTATATTTGTTGTAAAACCATATTAAGGGTTTTAACAATTATTATTGATGACTTTTTTCAAGAATATTTATTTTATGCTTACGGGCATGAATCTTTCAATAGCCAAATAAACGATATGGCAACGGTGCACTTAAATTCGTTCTCAATCGTATTCTTTTTTGGTTTTTTTTTGGGTCAGAGGTAAGTTCTTTGTTATTTTTAAGTGTTCTCAATCGTTCGATAACCTTTACGGGGAGTCCATGGGGTCTGCCCCCCACCGGCCCCATAAATTAAAATATAAATATAATCAGTAGCAGAGAATATCACTTATTAAATATGTTTGAAAATTAGCTGGACCCCTCCATGAAAAATTCCTAAATATACCACTGTTACACTAGCACAACTTATAGGTACATAGTTACATGTAAAATACTTAAGTAGTTAAGTCTATAGTCTATAGTTCTATACTTTATAATGTGTAAGCAGTAAGCCGTAAGGTACTATAATAGTATAATATAATATAAATTATAATTTATAATGTTTCATTATTACAGAATATAAACGCCGAGTACGATTGTACGGATAGACTGGTTACCGAGACGCATCGACAAATACAGACAATCCTTTGAATATTAGTTTTAAGAAAAAGGACTAAGGAGTATAGGATTCTGTCGGTTGTGACCAATTTAGTTATTCTTTTCTATGGTTGTGGCTTTACTTGGCGGTATGGACTATGGAGGGAACGGGGTCAGGCCGCGGGTCGACAGCCACTACTACTGCTGTAAAACACTTCCCGTCGACACCGCGTATTGCGCAACCGCCGCACTACCAGACCGTCCCCGCCCCGACCCCGCCGGCCAGATACCTCGCCCATACCGCTCGGCGGCGGCCGCGACCGTCCGACAGGTCGGTCTCTCCGGCCGCGACACCAATTGATAACCGCCACCCCCACCCGCCCGCACCGCACCACAATCTCGTGCTTGCGCTCTCCACGATCACCCGTAGCCCGTTCCCCACTTCACCCCACCGCCAGTGAGTGCTTACGACTTACGTTTTCGGACCGTTTGTCGTCGGGCCCGCCGAAGACGCAGCCACCGACGTCGCCGCTGCTTCGGTTTACCGCAACACAGAAGGGATAAAAAATCTGTGATTTCCATCGATCGTTATTCGTTTTTGACGTGCGAGACTTGTTCGGGTGCGTAAGACCAAAACGCTCAATGACCTAGTTCATCAACCTTGGCACATCGACGCGTTATCTGTTTTCTTGTGTGTGTTTTCCTAAGCGCGCGCGCGCGCTCTCGTCCGGCCGTCCGCGCTCCCCCCCGTCCACTTCAAAACAATAATAATAATAGAAATAATAATAGTAATAATAATAATAATAATAATAGTGATAATAATAATAATAATAATAATAATAGTCATATTGTTTCCACTTCATAATAATACCCACATAACGTTCAATATTGAATTACATCTGTACACGGCCGATAAGAACTCCGGGACATCACTACCCCTGTCTCCGGGGCCTCCCTCGTCCAAAGACCACTCAGCGGCCAGTCACTGTCGCCCCTGTCATCTGGCTACCGCAATCTCCATTCAACGACCATGGACGGCACTGAACGAGGTAAGAAGTTTTGTGCTCATCACAGAGCAGGTACATACTATCTTAAGAATTCTAAGTCTAACTCTTCTGAAAGTCTTTACTCAATGACATGATATAGATGATCTGTGTTAGGAGTCTTAGTGCTTGTGTATTTGCACACTACCTACATCCGCAATATTTTATAATCCTCAGACCTTAGTTTAGCGTTTCATAAGGAATAGGAGTTGGGTACTGTTTGTCACACATTTCCATGAGTGTTCTCTGTTACTGTGATGACCATATTTTAATTGTAGAAATTCATCTGCTCAGTCTCATTTAAGTATTATTTTATTCATTTTCATTTTACATGGCATTGTAGGTACACACCACCTAATGTTTACTATATTATTGTAAAGTTGTGCAGTTTCTTGTGCTTCCTTAACCATTAATTCAAACTATTATGGTCAATTCATTCAGTTTAATATGCTACCATTACGTAATTCTAACTATTATTCAAATACTAAGGTATTTTCTTAGGTATTATTATGTTTTTATAAATGTTGAAATTGTATCTACTTATAATAGGTACCAGCAACTTTAAATTGTTGCTATTAAGCTTTGAATAAGTTGGTATCTAGGTGCATAATAACTATATACTATTTTACCATATTTTAATATTAATTTGTTGTCAAACTTAAATGCATTGGTCTTGTCAATCTAATATATTTTTGTATAACTAGATACCTATTTTAGTAGCATATAATATAACTAAATAAGAAATAAGTACCTCATAACAACTTTTATGATAAGTGATAACATTTTATTAGTATTATGATGTATTTAAGTATGTGACAAATACAATTTTATATTGCTCCAATAAGTCAATAACCTATGTCCCAGTACACCTAAGCAAACATAATATTATGTAAATAGTTAATACTAAACAACTGATAACTGATAGGTATCATAATAATTGTTATTCCTACTAGGCCAAATAATATTATTATCTCTAGTAGTCTGATGATAGTAAATATTTGGACAACTATAATAGTGATACCTACCTTAATACAAATATGTGCACTGTCGGTCTGGCGCACTCTGTTACCAGGTGAATGATGGGAGCATTGGATATTTTCAATATTGGGGGCACATAGCCAAATGGGAATAAATATATATTAAAATAATTTATGAGTTGTGACTCAGAAATTAACAAATTATTTTTGATTTTTTGAATTAATAAAAAAGTCTGATTTATTAACACATTGTGCACAGCATTCAAATATGCTCAAGTGAATATGAACGAGTACTGTCAAAATTTAATATTTTAAAAACCAAACTTAGATTTTTGATAAGCTAACAATAAACTGGATCTGTTAACTTATCCGTTTGTTGAAGAATTTAGAAGACATCTTTAAATTTATAAACAATAATTAAATTGTTGATATGTTAGGATCTTCTTCTAGCAATGAATTATTAGAACTATAATTTATAATTTATTTAATTAATGTTATTTATATTTATTGAATTTTGTTTTCACCATAAGGTTTATTATTTTTATTTTATGTGTAAGTACACCTAAAAAAAAAATAAAGTATGTAAAATATTCTTGATTTTACTATTTTATAATAAAATATTATTTTAAAGTAGGTAGCTAATAAATTATTTTTTATCTTAAAATAAAATAGTTTTATTTCAATGAATTAAAAGGCAGATTAATGTTTGGTGTGTCGAGACCCATTTAAAATGACTGGGCCAGTGGCTCAATCATGAACCATTCTGACACGGCAATACTGTATAGGTAGTTGGAACTCTTTAATATTTTATAGAAGAAACTATTAATTGTCATTGGATCACTATTTAGATTCTTACACAGATAATATTAAAACCTGTAGTTAAAGTTTGTATATTATGTTACATAGGTAGGTACCTAAACATTATAAATGGTTAAAACAAATATACCTGTATGATTATAAAACAAAAAATAAATATATAAGTATAGAGGTACTTACCTAAATTTATAAAAATAATTAAAAATTTTGTTTTATAATTATACCCAGTTATGTAAAAAAAAGTGCAAGTCATGTAACTTTTTGAAAGTAAAATATTCTTCTGTTTTTAAAGGCGGTGGTCTAAAATCTATATTGTTTTCAATATAATTATTATAATAGTTTTCAGACCACTATTTTTTTCAAATTGTAACTGTTGCCGAGTGCCAAGATAAAGTGGATAGGTTATAATAATGTATACTTGATAATTAACAATATATTATAGAAAGTATTTAAAAGTATCTTTATACTTTAATGAGTAACAGCTATTTTTAAAATTGAAAATCTCATGTCAATAAATAGTAAATCAGTTTTTATATGATATTCATACCTATTTAGTACCTATTATTTTTATTAATTAGAGCTTTAAATAGGTACATTTTGGAAATACACTGGAAATTGGTTATAATATTACTCCAATTTTTAGAATACTAAATAAATATGTTATGTAATCTTTATTAATAAGCATTTTGTCAATTTTCGAAATACTTTGAGAGAATTATCAACAGATTTATTTAAATTTTTTTACAGCAGAATTATTTGTATTATCTGATGTTGCATGTACTATTGTTTGGTTTAAAACTATAATTTTATTATTGATTGATTTGATACATAAATTGTAGTTCATAATAATATAGCAGACTGTAGATATTTGAGAAATGATTAAACGATCTCATTATACATTCATCAATGATAATCTTACTAAGTATTTGAATTATAGTGTTACTTTAATATAACTTCTTAATAACATAAACTAGTATATAGTACAATAATTAAAAATATATTAATCACAAAGGCATAGGCACAACCGCACAACTATGGGTCAGGCACTCAGGCCATGTCCTGACCAATACTGACTGGATGATAATATACTGAATTAATAGAATTTAAAATTAAAACTAAAAACTTATTTTGTAATTAGCAGGGGTTAAAGTGGAAAAATATTCAAGAGGGGACTAATGTCTCCATATAGTTTTAAGCGTTCCATATATAATTTTATGTATAATGTCTAATGTATAAAATCCTAATTTGTTAAAGGGGACGCTTTTTAACCACCGTCAGAGGTAGGGGAGACTAAGTCCTCCTGCGTCCCCCCCACTTTAACTCCTGGTAATTAGAATTTAATTTTTATATTTTATCATTGGGCCTGTCTTAATAAAATTGCCTAGTTTCACTTATGCCCGGTTTACACGATGCGTAGTACTTGTCATTAGTAGCTCATGGGTAGCTACTTGTCGTTAGTAAATAGAACGGCGTCCTATTCACTCGCACTCCCGGTTTTACTAATACTAAGCACTTTTTTTTCTGTTTACACGCAATGTGCAAGTGCGAGTGACAAGTACTAATGACAATTACTACGCATCGTGTAAACTAGGCATTATGCATATAGGCGATTTATTTAATCATTTTTTTTCCATATTCATAAAATAATCAAATGTAGACAAAAAGAGTTTGTTTTTATATTTTCTACATAATAGTAAAATGGGGTATTACTATTTAGTAATTAAGTACTGTTTAAATTTTAAACTAATTCATTAATCATTTGAAATTCCTAAAATGTGTACTATTTATATTACTTATGGTAACTAACACATTTCATACCTATTAATTATAAATCAATTTCCTTTTCATTTTATTAAATATGGTTTATTTATTAGTTTATTACCTATTGGCTATTAGCATTGTTCAAACTAAATTCATCATAAATTACAGGGCTTGCATTTGAAAAAAAAACGTTACACAATTTTTGGGTTTATCTTTATTAAGAATTAAAACGTTGTTCAACTTTTGCGTTTATCGTTATTCAGAATTAAAACGTTATTCAACTTTAGCGTTTATCGTTATTCAGAATTAAAACCTTATCCAAGTTTCGCGTTTATCGTTATTTAGAACTAAAACGTTATAGAAGTTTTGTGTTTATCGTTATTTAAAATAGTGTTAATACCTATTAGACTTAAAAATAAACTAATGCCGGTAGGTAATGGTCCTGATACGGAATATAATATAATCAATTCTTAGATTGATTGAATGAAATAAATGTTTAAACCAATAGACCTTTTAAATAAATAGATTTTAAAATATATTGTTTTGCGTTATTTTTCGTTCGTGATATTCTATAAATTACGTTATGTGTTATGTTTTGTTTAATGATATGTAACATTTTGTTAATCGTTTTGTTTTACGGTATTTAATTTTTTTTGATTATCGCTTTCCGTTATAATAATTATAAGTACGTTTACAAATTTCAATTGTTTTTTGTCAAATATAACGATATAATAATACGTTTGCAAGCCCTGTCATAAAATGTATTTAAACAATGTCAATGTAAAATGTTAACTTAACTCTAAGTTAAGAATTTATAGGTAGGTACAGGCTACACAAGTAATATTTTAAATTATAATAATTATACACATTTAAACACATCTCTAACAATAATAATAATATTTCTTACAAAAAAATTAATTATTTTAATAAGAAAACTTGACTCAAATACAATTAATACCTAATGCTCATTCTTGAATATATATACTACTATAATACTAGGGAGTCTCAATATAACTTTCCGGTTTGACAAAATAAGTTACCGGCTTACTAGTGTTAAGGTAAGACATGCACATCAGTCACCTATTTATTATATAAGCTATTATATTATACAGGTTTTTCATAATAGTAGACAGTAGTTATTTACATAATAGTTATGTGTTTATGGTAACAATACAAAATATATTATGTTTGTTGTCCATAGACAGCTGCGTCAATCTCTTAGATCTCTGCTGATAATAAAATTGTATCACTTCTATTAACTATTAAAATTAGTAGTGTGGTGACATGAGAATAGGCATCTTAGATTAAATAATTATTATTAAATATTAATTAGTCAATATATCACTGTTTTTAGTGAAATAAATTAATATTATAGTACATTATCATCGTTTTATATTTATATAATTATATATATAGATCCTATTTATAAATTATAATATAGACCGGATTTAGACTACACATTTTATCCTCGTATTCGCAAATTTTCGTACGCTAATTTCAATAGGTTGCTGTCAGTGTTGACGTTAGAGTGAATTGAATTATTATCATCAAAATTTTAAGAGGACATCACACCCGCCGTGTTGTATCCGTCCAACACTGGTGAAACAAGATTGCGTACGATTTTTATCTGCAACTTTGAAGCACTGTTGCCATTTGCTTTGAACTAATAGAACATACAATTTAAAATTTGTTATTTAAGCGGTACCTAGGTATAACATTTTTTATTATTTTATTTTAACATTTTATTATTTTTAATTATTTTATTTTGTATACTTTAATAACCCGTATTACACACGTATGGCATAGACAAAACGCGTTTACGCAGTCTGAGTAGAACTCGCTCAATTTTGGTGTTAGAATAAAAACACATATTACAAAATTAAAAGATGACAATATTTTGAAGGGCAAGACGTTGAGTTTAAAAAAAAAAAAAAAAAATTAAAAAAGTTAAAAGTATTTTTAAAATGTTGACATTTTTTCTATTTCTAAACGATATAACGAACGTTATAATATTGGGTATAATGAATAACGCAACGACTTGCCCTCAGAAATATTGACACAATTCAATTTTATAATAGGTATTTTTACTCTAGAACCATAATTGGGCGATTTATAGTCAGACTTCGTAAACGCGGTTTGTCCATTTCGTACGTGTGTGAGACGAAGACAACACATGCGGGTGTGACGTCCTCTTAAGTAACAACATTTTCTGTGTTCTCTCGTTAGTTTTTTTTACGATGCTTTAATTTTTAAGTGAATTGTGAGCATTTTCAAATATTAATGTTTTACATACCTAGATACTCATAATTTACTTAAAAATTAAAATAATGTAAAAATCCAACGAGAGAACACGGATAATGTTGTTACCTAAAGTTTAATAATAGGTAAATTCACTCCAATATCAAAACTAACAGAACGCTATTGAAATAGGCGAACGAAAATTTGCCATGTCGTCCGTGTGTAAGACGGAGACAACGGGTGCAACGTCCTCTTAAGCAGTAACATAAATAATTTAAAATAATTATTATTTAATAACATTGGTATTAAGTTTGAACGTATTGAATTAATTTAAGACCTAATGGTAATCATTAATGTACAATTAGCAGAGCTGGCCTTAGCGAAAGGCCAGCGAAGCCCCTGCCCGAGGCTCGTGCATTTGTATGATATTTTGGACCTCGTTTTATAAAAAATTGTGTTCTATAATTTTTAATATAAAAATTTCAATTGAAGTACCTACTGACTACTGGTCATCAAATTATTATTAATTATTATACTGTCATAACTCATAACTCATTATATAAATTCAAAATTTAATTAATTAAGTATATGATTAATTATATATCCTTAAATTGGAAAGTGTAGAAAAATATAGTATGCAAGTAAAAACAAATCAAAATTAATGTTTTTTACTACTAAAAGAAAATTTACATTCTATGTTGGAATACACAATACGCTACAAAAATAATTACCTAAATAAAAGCATAGGTAGGTTAGGTACTTAAAGTCAGATGTAATACCTACTACAATATTATAATATTGTATTCTAGTGGTATCCCTAGTCTGATATCTAGTGGGTATAAGTGAACCTAATACTATATACATTATAATATATTATAATATAGATATAATTGTTTAAATTTTGGAATAAAAAAAAAGATCATAACTCATAAGGGGTCTGCGAATGCCCATTCCGACGTCACTCCTTGAGCAGTTTCTTACCGTCACTATAATTCTTGCATCCAGTCAATGGCGGGAGTGGACGTCTGCAAATTATACCTATGCTGCACTGCTGCAGTTGTTGTTTATATATGATTCATGCACTAAGTTTTTATGCGGTTAATGAACGTAATACTATGTCTTGCCCTTGAACTTAAAGATTTTTAAATTGTTTACGTAAAATTCAAACACTAATATTTATATAATATTATATAGGTATCTGGTATATTATATATTATATTTGTACTTTAAAATGTGTAATTTCTAAGGAAAACAATGTAAGAAATCTATTCCGACGACAAAATTTGCGTCTTATTAATAGCGTTTGGATATTCTAATCATTGACACGTAAATTATATTATAATGTGTTTACAATATATACAGTAAACACCTCCCAATAACAATGACTTGATTATTATAGCCATGGTACGAGCGATAAAACGTTAACAATTCGTGCAGGCATATAATATTTAATCTAAGATGGGCAAAATAAAAAACATAAAACTTAGTTAGTTAGTAACTAATTTACTAACTTTAGTATTTAAAATAAACCATGTAATAGATGAGTTCGATAAACTATTTGAAATAGTAAGTACTAAATTACATCTAAATGTTTTCAATATTATATGATATATAGTTACTTATAAGTTATAAAGTACAAAGTAGGTAGTTAGGAAATTAAATTTTACATGTTACGAACGTTTAATTAAAATAAATCACATATTTTAGATTCAAATTAGTATTACCTAGTTCCATAAACGATAATTTTTAGTTACCACTCATTTTTCTCTACTTTTAACTCATCGCTAAATCGCTTACTTGTGCTGATTACAGAATACAACGAATAATACATTTCTTTAAAATATTTTTAGCTACACTTTGTCTGATTAAGGGTACCTAATGGAATATCATCAAATTCCAAATTTTGAAGGTAAATGTAGTATTTAAAAATTATTCAGAGTTCAATTGAATATTATTACTACTATTATACTGGAGGAACTGCTTTTTGATTCATCTATATTCTATATAAACTATAATAATCGTCAAACATTCGTAGCATTACCATTATAGAATGCCAGTATCAGACTGTTGAATTATTTAGCATTAAAAACGAAAATATTATCACCTGAACAAATATCATTATTACTTTGGTAGATCCACCTTTTTTATGTAAATATGTTTTATATTTTGAAAAAGTAGACAGTAGTATATATTATACCTGCTGTAATTATAAGATAGGTACAGGACAACCATACGGTACTATTTATACTATTTTTATTTTAAACACGTATTTAAAACGCACCCAATTCTGCGTGTATATTATTTGTCGACTGTTGATCGACTGTTTGATTTAACAAGAACTATAATATATGTACTATTGACATTATTATAGTAGGCGATGTATACCAATTACTACCATAACAATAATATTATATAGGTAGTCGGCTACCTAGGTAAGCGCCCGGTGGTGTAACCGTCGTCGAAGGGTTACGGGATCGTCGATGGGGATATAATAGGTGATACACTGATACACGTATCGAAAGATCTGGCGATGATGGAGGATGTATCGTATGTATAATATATTATAATAATTTATAGGTATAATCGTGAGGATTATTATTTAGACAACACTGTGCAGCTCTGTCTGCGGACGGTACAACAAGTAGTAATAACGTTTCTCGTCGATGCGGTCGGACGAATGGTGGGGCGCGGCGGCGAGGTTTCGTGGCGCGCGCCGACCGAGCCGCGTGTTTATTTGGTTGCCGTCCGTCGCGGCGCGTACCTTCAATATATTCGTTGCGGGGCCGTGCTCGGTGCTGTTGCTGTTGCCGTCGCTGCTATTGCCGCCGATCGCTCCGGCGTTGTGCCTCTCGCTCCAAAACTGTGTCACTGGGTGGGCAGAGGTACCACATCACTGTATAGTTATATCGGCGTGCGTCGGCCGGCTCGCGGGATCAGTGGGTCGTCCGCGGTGGTCCGGGGAACAGGCGCAGCACAGCACCGGCCTACAAGAGCGTTCGGTGATTTTGTCGTCCGCGCGTGTATCGCAGTCGTTGTTATATTTTCCGTCGATTCCAAATATTATTATTGCCGCGTCGTTCGCGCGCGAGTCTCCGTCGTTAGCCGTGCTCCGGCCAGCACCGGGACCGGGACACCGGCCGGGTCGAGTACTTGAACATGTTCAAGAAAGAAAAACCCATGATGTCCGTGTCGGCCATCATACAGAGCAGGGCGGCTCATCACCACTGGGGCAGAGGTAAACCATAGGAAACGCGGTCGCATTACACGATTGTATTATAATATTATTATTTGGTATAATAATCTAGAAATGCGTTCGTTCGATCCGGTATATAGATTTCCCCTTAAAACGAACACCGTACCATATAAATTAAAAGACTATATATATTTTGTTTCTGACACCGGTTCAAAATGCTTGTAAATGTGTAACCCTTGTTTTTATATATTCTTCCCCTATTTCATACTACCACAACTTCTATATTAATTTTACAAAATATAATTTATATCTACCTAGTAACATTTACGTTATTTACAAAAAACTATTTGACATTTTGTACCGACAAGTTAAAATATTTATGTACCTATCGATATTAACTATAGGCGATTTCGCGGGTATTATTATTGGTGTGTTCCGGATTAAACGAACGAATTTATAGAATATATTTCTCGCAGCATAGTTGTATAACGATTAACGGTCGAACGGGGAGCCCCCCTTGTCGGTTTAAAGTGGGTAAAAAGACCTACGCATTTATTTATCACCACACGTGTGCGAGGCAAGACGAGAATAATATTCTGACGTGCAACGAAATCGTTCGATGTGGTTCGATATGATTTCGCACCAATAGGACAAAAATTCTTCCGAATGGGATAATGCGTTTTTCCGTGTCTTTCCCATGTCGATTTCCGTTATGCCCACGAAAGTTACTGTCTTGTACAATAATAATATGTGGGACCCGATTTTTTCTAACTAACCGTTTGAGGCGGATTTTCCATCGTTCCACTCTCTGTTTGTAGCCCTTGACTGCCTTTAAATCGTATTTTTTCGGGGACTACGCAAATTGCACATATTGCTCGTCCGAGAGTGAATTGTTAAACGGGAACTCAGCAATGGGGTTTTAAATAGAATTATTAACGTTCGAACATATTATACACTAAAAAGACAGAATAGACAGGAGTATTTCGTCAATGATGTATAATGACCAGAATTATTGCCGTGATGTCGTTGGTCGTCTAAGGGCCGGGAGTCGAGCTACCAAGAAAATCTCGGTGGGTCGCTTAAAGTTAAAATTTGGACTTGTCGTGTAAGCGTGACTGAAAATAAATTCATGTTCAAAATACGATTGGCCATCTCGTAATAATTATAAACGTAATTTTGGTCCACCGAATATGTTAATGGGCCGCTTAGAAGTGAAAATCTTGATGGGCCGATACATACCAATCCGGCCCTACCAGGGACCTGGGTTTTTATAGTTTAGCTCATTGTAAGATGAATAATTATTTTTGTGAAAAATAACTTAACTGGTGAACCAAATATATATTATATATATTTTTTATATCAATAAAATAGAAAGCAACCTAATCGAAAGTTTTTGGATTTTAGACTTTAAATGTAGGTACAACCGTCTGATAATAACTGTTTTTTGCTGAAGCAGATTATTTTGTATAAAATTAGAAATAAGAAATTAGTATATTGAGTCTTAAAAAATATCTCAAACGCTGAACCTTCAGTTTTATTGGCACTTTAATAATTCTCATTTTGTAGCTGAATATAAGTTTACACAGTTTAAATTGCAGAAATCGATACTTGCAACAGTAGTACAACACAATAATAATAATTAAAATGCGTATTTATAAGGTATTTGTGAGAGTTCTTTTCATGTATATACAATACGTATTTTTGTTCACTTGGGTCATCTATATTGTAAAACTCGGGTACCTATAAGAATTTTAGATTGCTGAGCATTATAGTTAATGTAATTCAATGTATATTTTATTCATCACTGTATATTATACGTATCGCTGAATAAATCAGTCGTGATAAAAAGAAACAGAATAATCAATGTTATGAAACCGTTTCTTCGTTTCAACCACTGCTGCATGTGACTGCATATATTTAGATGAAACTATATTGTTTGTAATATGAATTTGATTTGATATTCATTTGATGCGGGATAAATACGCATGAAATCTGCGGTATTGGAATTAATGTCATAAAAAATAAAACTCCTATATACTTAATGTTTTATAATATAAGCTTTTTGAAATCGTTTATCGTGATCGTATAGTTGTTATTAACCATTGCTGCTGGAGTGCTGTTGTATAGTGTAAAACTCTATAACCACAAAATAATATGTTAATTTATAACCGGGAAAACTCGAGTCGATACGCGCGCGTGTCAAATGCAGATGTCGGTTTGGACGTATTTATTTTTTATTCACATTCGAGTTTAACGCGTCCGTTTTAAAATCGTAGTAATAATATAATAAATAATAATATTATGTATAATAATATGTACGTAACCACAACCGTCGTAGGCACTTTGTGTTTCTCGAGGTTGTCAGAAAAAAATTAATAGTAAAATCGATCACCGTCCATGTCGTCGTCAAGATTATAATATTTCACTGCTGGCTTGGTTCGTTCTCATTTATTTATAATTTATATACCTACCTACATTATAATACTTATACTATAATATCGTAAATAACAATAAACAGGCGCGCACACCGCTCACGTGTGTTCTACATATATAGGTACATCGGATCTTTATAGAATATTATTATTCATGCAGTCGTCCACACAATAATAATAATAATGTGATCGACGACGATCGTAATAATTTATACTATAATATCGTCGTCGTCCGCACTTGTCACATTATCGTTGCAATTCCCGTGCATGTGACGTATATCGTACCTGACGTACCTATAATAATATTAATAATAATAATATGTATCGTGACGATAATAATAATAATATCCGACGACGACGTGCGGTCGGGCCCGTTGTGGTCGTCTTCCCTGTGGTGGAAAAGAGTGGAGCGGGAACGAAGTAAAAAATGATTGACGACGACGACAACGATACGGTCGTTAGCGGCGGCGCGCGCGCGTTGCCACCTTCAAGGTCGTCGTCGCCGTGCCCCCTCCCCCGTCCTCACCGCCCCGCTGACCTACCGGGAGCTTCCTATTTCGCACCTCAAGGTCGTCATATCTCGCGCGGGACGCACGAGGCCTGCTGCAGTTGTACACATACGTGTTTGCGCGTGCAGCCGGGAAAACTCGCGGCACCCGACTCCTCCGGTAGGTACGGCGCGCGCGATGACGACACGACGGCACAGACGCTCCGTACTCGAGTACACCGCGGTGTCGTAATATGCGAGCGCGCCCCACCCGTCCAAAGATACACCTATAACAATCATTATTAAATTGTGTGTTATTGTTAATATGTATTAAAATTTATAAATTACAACGTTCCGTAACACGACCGACCTAAGAACGCGTGTTTGCGCGTGCACTTTCCGCCGACACGCGCCGTTGTTGTGACGACGGTTGCGGCCTTTGGGGTTTCCGGACGACGCGACGGTCCTGTGAAATATCACTTTTAATCGATCGAACGCCGTGGGAAAAGTCATGTCCCCGCGACCGCTGCTAAGACCAAAGTCCGCGCACAAACGACCGACGGAAGTAGTCGTAGACGATGTCGATAACCAATGCGGTCGGCCGGGGGGATGCCGTAGAAATGTTCAAATTATATTTATTTTTTTGTTACGCCTACACAGAAAGTTTAATTTTTAATTTCGGTTGAAACTTGAAACGATGAGCTTTTTCCATCGAGTGAACAGTAAAATATGCTTTTTACAGCTCTATAGGTGGAAAAGCACAATGGAGAAAACACACAATTTTTATCGGGAACGAATAAGTATTTAATTGTTAGGTGAAATGCAGCCCTCGCCCTCGGTTCGTGCCTCACGCGTTGCTAGCGACTGAAATAGGTCACTCACTTCCCGTTATTTCCACACAATATCACAATATTGCAGTACAAAATGCAATTGATGCAGGGTTTACATCAAGGCGCCTAAACATCAGTGCTTTTTGTTTCTGAACAAATCCGACTAATCCGAGAGACCGAGACAAAGTATATAGGTTACATTCTACGACATATGTTCGTGTTTCTGGAGACATTTTTGGGTCCGCTCAAAAGCGGTACAACTTTTTCTGTTTTTTGCAACATTTGTTTATTTGATGCAAACAGGTGTTGACACATCATCCCAAAAAATGTATTAAAATCACGATTTTTTGTTTCTGCAGTTTTGCCTGCAGTGCGATGCGAACAGCAAATAAAAAACAAAACATATAAACATTTTGTCTCCTAAATGCTGCTTAGTTGCTATTTCTTGTTTGTCACAAAATTTACCAATTGAGTTTCACTGTCTGTTACTGTCTTGTCGGCTTGATGTAAACCTAAAATAAAACTCCTCTAATATTTCCCTCTATCAATATTATAGCAATTCATATGAAAGAACTGTTCTTACCGTTCTCTGTATTTAGAGTCACCTAACTGTTCTATACATAGAACAGTGCGGGAGTAACCCACCCTAAACCATAAACCATCTATGTATTTGATACATTATATTAGTCATATAACGTATCGATATTAATATTAAACTGTTTGGACAGTGTTTTTTTTAGTCTGCCGGGCAGCGTTTACTGTCCACCGGACCAAAAGTAGTAAATTTTTAACCGGCGTCGACAATTAAACTTTTTCCGTGGGCGTGTCAAAATATTATACTTTTACTGCAATATTGTCGAAAATACGTCGTGGCGATCGAGAAACGGACGGTCGTGGAGTTTAGTGGGTATTTTCTGTGTCGAGTTTTCCGCCAACAGATTTGTTGTGTCAAAGTTACATAGGTACAACGCGCACGTGTACGATATACCTGATCGTATTTCGTCCGACTGTTTTTCTATGTACTTTATAAACTTGCACTTATTTTTAGTCGCTTTCGACGTGAGCCGGTGTTATATTTGACATTTTTACCGTATTGATATATATTTTATATCGTCATCAGGTCTTCTCCTCCCCCTTGTTTTTTGTAATTTTTCCAGTAATTTCGTATCATAAAGTGATGTGACGTTGGCATGTAAATATTTAATACTCACGAGTGGTTTTTCGTTCACTGTTATTTCTTAATGTTTGTTTTTTTTCATTTTACGGGTGAAGTGGCACTGCAGCAGTAATTCCATCC